ATATGAACCTATGTGACATATAGCAATATGAGTCTATGTAACATCCAGCAATATGAGTCTATGTGACATCCAGCAATATGAGTCTATGTGACATCCAGCAATATGAGCCTACGTAACATCCAGTAAAATGAGTCTATGTGATATCCAGCAATATGAACCTATGTGATATCCAGTAATATGAGCCTACGTAACATCCAGCAATATGAGTCTATGTGATATCCAGCAATATGAACCTATGTGATATCCAGCAATATGAGTCTATGTGATATCCAGCAATATGAGCCTATGTGACATCCAGCAATATGAGTCTATGTAACATCCAGCAATATTGGTCTATGTGACATCCAGCAATATGAGTCTATGTGACATCCAGCAATATGAGTCTATGTAGCATCCAGCAATATTGGTCTATGTGACATCCAGCAATATGAGTCTATGTGACATCCAGCAATATGAGTCTATGTGACATCCAGCAATATGAGTCTATGTGACATCCAGCAATATGAACCTATGTGATATCCAGCAATATTGGTCTATGTGACATCCAGCAATATGAGTCTATGTGACATCCAGCAATATGAGTCTATGTATGGCATCCAGCAATATTAGTCTATGTGACATCCAGCAATATGAGTCTATGTGACATCCAGCAATATGAGTCTATGTGACATCCAGCAATATGAGTCTATGTGACATCCAGCAATATGAACCTATGTGATATCCAGCAATATGAGCCTACGTAACATCCAGCAAAATGAGTCTATGTGATATCCAGCAATATGAGCCTATGTGACATCCAGCAATATGAGTCTATGTAACATCCAGCAATATTGGTCTATGTGACATCCAGCAATATGAGTCTATGTGACATCCAGCAATATGAGTCTATGTAGCATCCAGCAATATTGGTCTATGTGACATCCAGCAATATGAGTCTATGTGACATCCAGCAATATGAGTCTATGTGACATCCAGCAATATGGGTCTATGTGACATCCAGCAATATGGGTCTATGTGACATCCAGCAACATGAGTCTATGTGACATCCAGCAACATGAGTCTATGTGACATCCAGCAATATGAGTCTATGTGACATCCAGCAATATGAGTCTGTGACATCCAGCAATATGAGTGTATGTGATATCCAGCAATATGAGTCTGTGACATCCAGCAATATGAGTCTATGTAACATCCAGCAATATGAGTCTGTGACATTCAGCAATATGAGTCTGTGACATCCAGCAATATGAGTCTATGTGACATCCAGCAATATGAGTCTATGTGACATCCAGCAATATGAGTCTATGTGACATCCAGCAATATGAGCCTATGTGATATCCAGCAATATGAGTCTATGTAACATCCAGCAATATTGGTCTATGTGACATCCAGCAATATGAGTCTATGTGACATCCAGCAATATGAACCTATGTGATATCCAGCAATATGAGCCTACGTAACATCCAGCAAAATGAGTCTATGTGATATCCAGCAATATGAACCTATGTGACATATAGCAATATGAGTCTATGTAACATCCAGCAATATGAGTCTATGTGACATCCAGGAATATGAGTCTATGTGACATCCAGCAATATGAGCCTACGTTACATCCAGTAAAATGAGTCTATGTGATATCCAGCAATATGAACCTATGTGATATCCAGTAATATGAGCCTACGTAACATCCAGCAATATGAGTCTATGTGATATCCAGCAATATGAACCTATGTGATATCCAGCAATATGAGCCTACGTAACATCCAGCAAAATGAGTCTATGTGATATCCAGCAATATGAGCCTATGTGACATGCAGCAATATGAGTCTATGTAACATCCAGCAATATTGGTCTATGTGACATCCAGCAATATGAGTCTATGTGACATCCAGCAATATGAGTCTATGTAGCATCCAGCAATATTGGTCTATGTGACATCCAGCAATATGAGTCTATGTGACATCCAGCAATATGAGTCTATGTGACATCCAGCAATATGGGTCTATGTGACATCCAGCAATATGGGTCTATGTGACATCCAGCAACATGAGTCTATGTGACATCCAGCAACATGAGTCTATGTGACATCCAGCAATATGAGTCTATGTGACATCCAGCAATATGAGTCTATGTGACATCCAGCAATATGGGTCTATGTGACATCCAGCAATATGAACCTATGTGATATCCAGCAATATGAACCTATGTGACATATAGCAATATGAGTCTATGTAACATCCCGCAATATGAGTCTATGTGACATCCAGCAATATGAGTCTATGTGACATCCAGCAATATGAGCCTACGTAACATCCAGCAATATGAGTCTATGTGATATCCAGCAATATGAACCTATGTGATATCCAGCAATATGAGCCTACGTAACATCCAGCAAAATGAGTCTATGTGATATCCAGCAATATGAACCTATGTGATATCCAGTAATATGAGCCTACGTAACATCCAGCAATATGAGTCTATGTGATATCCAGCAGTATGAACCTATGTGATATCCAGCAATATGAGCCTACGTAACATCCAGCAAAATGAGTCTATGTGATATCCAGCAATATGAACCTATGTGATATCCAGTAATATGAGCCTACGTAACATCCAGCAATATGAGTCTATGTGATATCCAGCAATATGAACCTATCCAGCAATATGAACCTATGTGTGATATCCAGCAATATGAACCTATGTGACATATAGCAATATAAGACCTATGCGATATCAAGCAAAATGAACCTATGTGACATATAGCAATATGAGCCTATGCGATATCCAGCAATATGAACCTATGTGATATCGAGCAATATGAGCCTACGTAACATCCAGCAATATGAACCTATGCGATATCCAGCAATATGAACCTATGTGATATCCAGCAATATGAGCCTACGTAACATCCAGCAATATGAGCCTATGCGATATCCAGCAATATGAACCTATGTGACATATAGCAATATGAGCCTATGTGATATCCAGCAATATGAGCCTATGCGATATCCAGCAATATGAACCTATGTGACATATAGCAATATGAGTCTACGTGGCATGTGGTCAACAGCATGAGCATCGATGTATACATTTGGGTTACGATGACAAGTCTGACCACCTGGCCCCGTTAGTCGCCTGTTACGATAAGCATGGGATGCTGCTGAAGATCAATTCTAACCCGCATCTTCACGTGTGTGTTTTCCAATGGAAACTTTGGCCATATCGTTAACACAACACAACAATACACATCAATACACAACAATACACACCAGACAGGAAGGTAGTGTATAGAAGGTAGTGTACAGGATGTAACAGATATCATGGTCTAGAAATAAGAAACAGCCTAAGACTGAACTGCTAAATCACTGCTAGTGAAATGCCCGGATAGTATGGCGAGTATACCACGTTATTTAAATAATTTACATTTGCAGAAGGTATCACCTAAGAAATAAATAGCAGAAATTAATATAGTTCATATAATTGATACAGTTATGATTGCTGCCAAAACACAGCTCCATCGTTCATGATGTACAACATCACCGACAACCATGATAACACACCGACCACGTCTGTAGAACCACGTCTGTATAACGGGCTCATGAACTTCACAAACCAATACGAACATGCTTATATTTGGAAAAAATCTCATTTATTCATACATTTGAAGTTTTTTCTCATGGTAAAGGTCTGAATGACCACATGCCAGCCACCGAGATGACGAGAAGATACAGAGTTTCCACTGACCCCGACACAGTCACGGAGCGCTGGTTGAAGCGGACGTAAAATATAGCAGTACACACAACACTGCCCAGCGTCCATCACAGAGAACAGAATTTACTTCAGGATTACACGGTTTTGCTGTTGATAAACTCCTGATCATATACTGGACAAAATAAGTGTTTTTATGATTGATATTTTATTAGTGTTTCAATGAATAATTAGATCATTATTCTTAATTTCAAAATTTACATATATCCCTAACTATATTTGGCCAGTATATATACAACTCAAAGTTTGCTGCGGATAAGATAAAATAATCAACAATAAATCAAGGCTGAAACAGCCGCGTACATAGTGACTGTAACGCCACTGGAATTTGAAAACCCGATGTGCAGAGACAGAAGTGGGGTGTGTGTGATTTGCACATCATTGTCACAGAGCATGTGCTGCTGGGAATTGCACGTGTCTTCCGTCAGCGTTACCAACGTCACAGAATAGGGCAGGTTCCTCTTCATTTAGCCAGACGCCATCACTTCGTTACTGACCTGCGGAAACGTCCGTGGCGTCAACGATTCTGTACGTGTAACATTGACGGAGGTCACGACCTAATTAGAAAGACGAGACGACGATGCAAGTCTGCGATCACATCACAAGGATTATATATTTTAGGAGTTGAGAGTGTTCACAATGAATTGGTTTCGTTGATTTTTTGTCGCGGCATTCAGACGTGTGATCTAACTCTGGGCATTGTGTGACACAAGAGACCGGACGTCAAACTGACGTAGGCTGTTTCAACAGGTGCACACTTACTTCATAGAGTGAGCCTTAGCAAACGTGTGTAGTATATGTACAGATGCCCCCATAACTACGTGACAGATGTGCTTCTTCACTTGAGATAGTGGCGCCTAAGAACGTTATGTACATATACTCATAAGTTGGAAAGATGACATAAAAAACAAACTAACAAGAGTGAGTGAGTTTAGTTTTACGCCGCACACAGAAATATTCCAGCTATATGGCGGCGGCCTGTAAATAAGCGAATCTGGACCAGACAATCCAGTGATCAACAGCTTGAGCATAGATCTGCGCAATTGGGAACTGATGACATGTGTCAACCAAGTCAGCGAGCCTGACCACCCGATCCCGTTAGTCGCCTCTTACCACCAGCATGGGTTACTCAATATTATAACCCGGACCTTCTCAGGTCCAAACTTTCAAGAAATCGTGTCAGTACAAATTCTTTGTCATGGAAATAAATGCATACACAAAAAACACTTGTGAACCCTCGATAGGAGAATATATAGTATTTATACATACCACTATTTCTTGCAAGGTTTAAACAGTTTTAAAAGAAGTTAATATCCATAAACGTTTGTCTACTTTCTCAACAACACTGCCGATATCCTCCACCCCCACACCCCGGTCACGTGTCCTACTTCTCCTCATCAGACATGTCGTCCGTGAGGATCATGCTGGTGGTGATTATCTTCCTCCTTAAAGTGTTCGCCTTCGCCGGCACCTCCTCTACTTGCTGCAGGACGCTCACGATGTCGCTGAGACTCTGCATTACCACCTGAGCTGCGTCAAACAGGTTCTGGTTCGGGAACACCACTGACGTCACTTCCTGTTTCCGGTAAAGTTTCAGCGCTAAAGCTGTCATCCGGGTGGTAGCACAGTTCTTGAAAACCGGAAGTGGGCAAACGATCTCTGACTTAGCCACGAGCTTGGACACATTGGGCGTCTCTCGCACCACTGCGGATGACACGGCCTTGAGTTTGGACCACTTATGGCCATTTCCCCTTCGAGACTTCTCCATGGACTCAATCAGCTTGTCCAGATTACAGACCAGCGCCTGTGAGAAGTCGGCCATCTTGTGCTTGGTCTCCTCACGTTTAGCCATCACTCCGTAATGGGTGAGCAACTCCTGCAGCTTCGTCTTCCCGTCATGCAGTGCGGTCCCCGGGTCGCCGTCCTCCGTGAGTACCGTGGCTGCCTCCCGACACGCGTTGTGAAAGGTATTGCGCATGTCCGCCTTCGCACTCAATAGCATGGCCCTGTCATACTTGTCTGGGTCCTTGAGTGGGGTGAGACGATCGCTGAACCTGATCGTCCTGATCACGTGATGAACCTCACCCTGAGCGTCGCAGTACTCCAGGTTAATAGAGACAACGTCTTTGTCGTCGTCCCTGTTGTAGGCGGACAGGTCGATGGCGATGCTAAAATGCTTCTGACTTCCGGCCTGCAGATCGTGGAGATAATATGTGATGTTGGGAACTTTCTTCCCACTGCGCCTGCGTCGAACACTGTGTTCGCGCGTACACTTCTCCTCCATGAGGGCGGCACCATTGCCCGGCTTGATGTCCAGGGTCACGTACTGAGCGATGGCGGATTTCCGCAGCATAAGCGGAATAAGCATGTCCACTTCCGGGTGTGCAAGATCGCTGTCGACGTAGTAGTAAGCGTCGTTGCCGCAGTGTTTAGAAACGAGATACATCGCATCAGACACGTGACCTCCCGTTGTCACGCAGGCAACACTAAGCCACAGTTCAGCTTGAGGGTTTCGGGGATTGGGGTTCGACTCCCTGATTCGCTGACGCACAGCATGGACAACGTCGTCAGCGTTAGTGATGCCGGAGTTGATCTCTCCATCAGAGAAGACGATGATGGCGTTCCGGTAGGCGGCGCTGCAACAATTGTATACAATGTGTACTGTTAAATGATGTTGTCAGTAAAAATATATAAACCTCTCAGAATCACATGCCGGTTAGCTTTTGTGTGTACATACCCCAAATACCACAATACCCGGCCACCTCAAATACTACAATACCCGGCCACCTCAAATACCACAATACCCGGCCACCTCAAATACCACAATACCCGGCCACCTCAAATACCACAATACCCGGTCACCTCAAATACCACAATACCCAGTCACCTTAAATACCACAATACCTGGCCACCTCAAATACCACAATACCCGGCCACCTCAAATACCACAATACCCGGCCACCTCAAATACCACAATACCCGGCCACCTCAAATACCACAATACCCGGTCACCTCACCTCAAATACCACAATACCCGGTCACCTCACCTCAAATACCACTATACCCGGCCACCTCAAATACCACTATACCCGGTCCACCCCTACACCCACACTACCTACAGCACCCACTCGCCACCCTGGTGTCCACCCCTATACCCAGAATACCTACTCGCTGGCCTGTTGTCCACTCTTCAGAAGCTCTACTGCCCTGTGTACACCCATGACCAGGTCAGTCTTGCTGTCGATGGCCTTGTCGATCGAGGAGATGGCCTCCTTTAGGTTTCCCTGGAAACCAAACAGAGATGTATGGGTGAAATTGTGGTAGATGTAATTAGTGGTTAGGATTGTGAACATGTCCCTTGACAAACCCACAGCATTATGCGCTGAACTAATTGTCCAAGAAAAGCCCCTAAGTCTTACCGCTTGCACTCAGTCCGTGTTATGGTAGGATACCTAATATTCAGGTACATTCTGGATCAGTTGGTAGCCCCGGCAGTGGACAGGATGGGCACATTACCTGTAGAGTCTAGGGCTGGGACGGGTAACCCGGATACCCGGGACGGGTGGGTAATGAGTTGGCCCCGGGTACCCGTCTCAATACCCGGACCCGTTATGATCATGTGCCTAATAGATTAAACAATGTAATATGTTATTCTTTCATGATTAAAATGTTGTAATGTCTTTGAAGATTAAGACATAATTTCCAGTCACCTCTTTTGAAAATAATACATGGTTAAGATAGTGCTTGTTCATCTACCTCTGGCATAGGCCTAAAGAATAAATTACACGTGAGCGTTCTCTTTGCCTACCCTTGACCTCTCGTCGACCTTGGTGAGCGGACAAACAACTCGCGTCACCTCCCCAAAGGCGACGATGCCGAAGTAGTCGTCTCCCTCCTCCATAACGTCAACGAGGTCGGTGGCCATCTTCTTGAGTTTTGTCAACTTGGAGTGTTGTCTGCTTCGTCCACACTTCAGCAGCATACTTCCGCTGACGTCAAACACGCACACCACGCGCAGCTTAACCTTGTCGATGACGTCATGATGCAGGGTTGAGAGTTCAAGGACACCACGCAGCTGAAGAACACGTTGCGGTGTGAGTATACCACACATTCGATGGTTAACGTACTTTCGCACACTCATAGTGCTACACATGAACTGAAATACATAGTGCTACACATAAACTTAAATACATAGTGCTACACATAAACTTAAATACATAGTGCTACACATATACTTAAATACATAGTGCTACACATAAACTGAAATACATAGTGCAACACATAAACTTAAATACATAGTGCTACACATAAACTTAAATACATAGTGCTACACATATACTTAAATACATAGTGCTACACATAAACTTAAATACATAGTGCTACACATAAACTTAAATACATAGTGCTACACATATACTTAAATACATAGTGCTACACATAAACTGAAATACATAGTGCTACACATAAACTTAAATACATAGTACTACACATACGCTTAAATACATAGTGCTACACATAAACTTAAATACATAGTGCTACACATAAACTTAAATACATAGTGCTACACATAAACTTAAATACATAGTGCTACACATAAACGTAAATACATAGTGCTACACATAAACTTAAATACATAGTGCTACACATAAACCTAAATACATAGTGCTACACATAAACTTAAATACATAGTGCTACACATAAACTTAAATACATAGTGGTACACATAAACTTAAATACATAGTGCTACACATAAACCTAAATACATAGTGCTACACATAAACTTAAATACATAGTGCTACACATAAACTTAAATACATAGTGCTACAGATAAACCAAAATACATAGTGCTACACATAAACTTAAATACATAGTGCTACACATAAACTTAAATACATAGTACTACACATACACTTAAATACATAGTGCTACACATAAACTTAAATACATAGTGCTACACATAAACTTAAATACATAGTGCTACACATAAACTTAAATACTTAAATACATAGTGCTACACATAAACTTAAATACATAGTGCTACACATAAAATTAAATACATAGTGCTATACATAAACTTAAATACATAGTGCTACACATATTCTTACATTTACGAGATCGGGTGGTCAGGCTCTGTGCTACACGTATCATCACACACTCTCTGTGCCACACGTATCCTCACACACTCTCTGTGCAACACGTATCCTCACACACCCTCTGTGCTACACGTATCATCACACACTCTCTGCGCCACACGTATCCTCACACACCCTCTGTGCTACACGTATCATCACACACTCTCTGCGCCACACGTATCCTCACACGCTCTCTGTGCTACACGTATCCTCACACACCATCTGTGCTACGCGTATCCTCACACACCCTCTGTGCTACACGTATCCTCACACACTCTCTGCGCCACACGTATCCTCACACACCCTCTGTGCTACACGTATCATCACACACTCTCTGCGCTACACGTATCCTCACACGCTCTCTGTGCTACACGTATCCTCACACACCATCTGTGCTACGCGTATCCTCACACACCCTCTGTGCAACACGTATCCTCACACACTCTCTGTACTACACGTACCCTCACACACTCTCTGTGCTGCACGTATCCTCACACACTCTCTGTGCTACACGTATCCTCATACACTCTCTGTGCTACACGTATCCTCACACACTCTTTGTGCTACACGTACCCTCACACACCCTCTGTGCTACACGTATCCTCATACAGGACAAACCTGCTCTCATCTCAGTGGTACAATTGCTGGACCTACCATGTTCTGGGATTCTGTTAGAAAGACTTCAAAGTCCACGCAGTCCTCCCCCTTCTTACCTGCCAGAAACAGAGGAAATCACGTCAGAAACAGAGTACATGAGGACATGACGTCAGAATCAGAGGACATGACGTCAGAAACAGTGGACATGATGTCACCCGGTCTCCCCGTGCAATGTTTTCTGTTAACTTCATTATCTTCAAAATAAAACTCGAGACCAATGTAAATGTAGGCTCTTGAAGAAGGTGCAAGTGGGCGCAACCTTAGCATATACCGGGAATTCCCATATTTAAGCCCCGGGGTTAAATACGGAAAATCACTGTTCTAGTGATGAAATATTTTAACCATATTTAAGCCCAGGGATGAAATTCGAAAAGGCGCAATATCTTTTTCTAAATAAAAAGAATCTGTTTTTTTTAAAACTATTTAAACCCGTAAACAGGTCGATAAATTCAAAACTGAATGACCTCATGGTTCAGTTTAACTGCAACTGCATGAACGTCACAGGGGTGAAGATGATCAATTTCTTTCACTAATAACTGCCCTGTAACCGGGGTCTGTAAACGTGACAACCTCGCAGAGCCACTACTAGTGTTAAAAACGTCGACGTTCGCCATGCGTTTGGAACGGGGCGTCACTCTAAACACCAAAGAATTCAATCCAAATTTAAGCCCATGGGCATAATGGGCGGAGGGCAGAGTCTAGACCGAGATAGAGGCTGTAACAGTTATGACGAGGCGGCGTTAGGTCGACAGCCCAGACAGACGCCTGCTGCAGATGCTGATCACGTCAGTGTGTTTCACGACCTTGGAATATTGCTGTCAGCCCCAGACAAAACATTTCCAGGTCGGATCTTCCATTACCATTTAAAGGACATGTTACTATACGAACATGTATAAATAACTGGGTCATCCCCACCCACTCCTGGATACACAGCTAGGTATTTTACATCACTCAGCAACCTAGACAACTACTTAATGATATGACGTCACAATGAAAATTACGTCTTTGTGTTAAACAAAGGCAAAATGTCATGTTATGTTTCAGCAACAGATAATGCTGGATACAGCAGTCCTGTAACAGACGGGTCTCTCTCTAGGACAACAGATAATGCTGGATACAGCAGTCCTCTAACAGACGGGCTCTCTCTAGGACAACAGATAATGCTGGATACAGCAGTCCTGTAACAGTCGGGTCTCTCTCTAGGACAACAGATAATGCTGGATACAGCAGTCCTGTAACAGACGGGTCTCTCTCTAGGACAGCAGATAATGCTGGATGCAGCAGTCCTCTAACAGACGGGACTCTCTCTAGGACAACAGATAATGCTGGATACAGCAGTCCTGTAACAGTCGGGTCTCTCTCTAGGACAACAGATAATGCTGGATACAGCAGTCCTCTAACAGACGGGTCTCTCTCTAGGACAACAGATAATGCTGGATACAACAGTCCTGTAACAGTCGGGTCTCTCTCTAGGACAACAGATAATGCTGGATACAGCAGTCCTCTAACAGACGGGTCTCTCTCTAGGACAACAGATAATGCTGGATACAGCAGTCCTCTAACAGACGGGACTCTCTCTAGGACAACAGATAATGCTGGATACAGCAGTCCTGTAACAGTCGGGTCTCTCTCTAGGACAACAGATAATGCTGGATACAGCAGTCCTCTAACAGACGGGTCTCTCTCTAGGACAACAGATAATGCTGGATACAACAGTCCTGTAACAGTCGGGTCTCTCTCTAGGACAACAGATAATGCTGGATACAACAGTCCTCTAACAGACGGGACTCTCTCTAGGACAACAGATAATGCTGGATACAGCAGTCCTGTAACAGACGGGTCTCTCTCTGGGACAACAGATAATGCTGGATACAACAGTCCTCTAACAGACGGGTCTCTCTCTGGGACAACAGATAATGCTGGATACAGCAGTCCTGTAACAGTCGGGTCTCTCTCTAGGACAACAGATAATGCTGGATACAGCAGTCCTCTAACAGACGGGTCTCTCTCTAGGACAACAGATAATGCTGGATACAACAGTCCTGTAACAGTCGGGTCTCTCTCTAGGACAACAGATAATGCTGGATACAGCAGTCCTCTAACAGACGGGTCTCTCTCTAGGACAACAGATAATGCTGGATACAGCAGTCCTCTAACAGACGGGTCTCTCTCTAGGACAGCAGATAATGCTGGATACAGCAGTCCTGTAACAGACGGGTCTCTCTCTAGGACAACAGATAATGCTGGATACAACAGTCCTGTAACAGACGGGTCTCTCTCTAGGACAACAGATAATGCTGGATACAGCAGTCCTTTAACAGTCGGGTCTCTCTCTAGGACAACAGATAATGCTGGATACAGCAGTCCTGTTACAGACGGGTCTCTCTCTAGGACAACAGATAATGCTGGATACAGCAGTCCTCTAACAGACGGGTCTCTCTCTAGGACAACAGATAATGCTGGATACAGCAGTCCTTTAACAGTCGGGTCTCTCTCTAGGACAACAGATAATGCTGGATACAGCAGTCCTGTTACAGACGGGTCTCTCTCTAGGACAACAGATAATGCTGGATACAGCAGTCCTCTAACAGACGGGTCTCTCTCTAGGACAACAGATAATGCTGGATACAGCAGTCCTGTAACAGACGGGTCTCTCTCTGGGACAACAGATAATGCTGGATACAGCAGTCCTGTAACAGACGGGGTCTCTCTAGGACAACAGATAATGCTGGATACAGCAGTCCTGTAACAGACGGGTCTCTCTCTAGGACAACAGATAATGCTGGATACAGCAGTCCTGTAACAGACGGGTCTCTCTAGGACAACAGATAATGCTGGATACAGCAGTCCTGTAACAGACGGGTCTCTCTCTAGGACAACAGATAATGCTGGATACAGCAGTCCTGTTACAGACGGGTCTCTCTCTAGGACAACAGATAATGCTGGATACAGCAGTCCTCTAACAGACGGGTCTCTCTCTAGGACAACAGATAATGCTGGATACAGCAGTCCTTTAACAGTCGGGTCTCTCTCTAGGACAACAGATAATGCTGGATACAGCAGTCCTGTTACAGACGGGTCTCTCTCTAGGAAAACAGATAATGCTGGATACAGCAGTCCTCTAACAGACGGGTCTCTCTCTAGGACAACAGATAATGCTGGATACAGCAGTCCTGTAACAGACGGGTCTCTCTCTGGGACAACAGATAATGCTGGATACAGCAGTCCTGTAACAGACGGGTCTCTCTCTGGGACAACAGATAATGCTGGATACAGCAGTCCTCTAACAGACGGTTCTCTCTCTAGGACAACAGATAATGCTGGATACAGCAGTCCTGTAACAGACGGGTCTCTCTCTAGGACAACAGATAATGCTGGATACAGCAGTCCTGTAACAGACGGGTCTCTCTCTAGGACAACAGATAATGCTGGATACAGCAGTCCTGTAACAGACGGGTCTCTCTCTAGGACAACAGATAATGCTGGATACAGCAGTCCTCTCACAGACGGGTCTCTCTCTAGGACAACAGATAATGCTGGATACAGCAGTCCTGTAACAGACGGGTCTCTCTCTGGGACAACAGATAATGCTGGATACAGCAGTCCTCTAACAGACGGGTCTCTCTCTAGGACAACAGATAATGCTGGATACAGCAGTCCTCTAACAGACGGGTCTCTCTCTAGGACAACAGATAATGCTGGATACAGCAGTCCTGTAACAGACGGGTCTCTCTCTAGGACAACAGATAATGCTGGATACAACAGTCCTGTAACAGACGGGTCTCTCTAGAACAACAGATAATGCTGGATACAGCAGTCCTCTAACAGACGGGTCTCTCTCTAGGACAACAGATAATGCTGGATACAGCAGTCCTGTAACAGACGGGTCTCTCTCTAGGACGGCAGATAATGCTGGATACAGCAGTCCTCTAACAGACGGGTCTCTCTCTAGGACAACAGATAATGCTGGATACAGCAGTCCTCTAACAGACGGGTCTCTCTCTAGGACAACAGATAATGCTGGATACAGCAGTCCTGTAACAGACGGGTCTCTCTCTAGGACAACAGATAATGCTGGATACAACAGTCCTGTAACAGACGGGTCTCTCTCTAGGACAACAGATAATGCTGGATACAGCAGTCCTCTAACAGACGGGTCTCTCTCTAGGACAACAGATAATGCTGGATACAGCAGTCCTGTAACAGACGGGTCTCTCTCTAGGACAACAGATAATGCTGGATACAGCAGTCCTTTAACAGCCGGGTCTCTCTCTAGGACAACAGATAATGCTGGATACAGCAGTCCTGTAACAGACGGGTCTCTCTCTAGGACAACAGATAATGCTGGATACAGCAGTCCTCTAACAGACGGGTCTCTCTCTGGGACAACAGATAATGCTGGATACAGCAGTCCTCTAACAGACGGGTCTCTCTCTAGGACAACAGATAATGCTGGATACAGCAGTCCTGTAACAGACGGGTCTCTCTCTAGGACAACAGATAATGCTGGATACAGCAGTCCTGTAACAGACGGGTCTCTCTCTAGGACAACAGATAATGCTGGATACAGTAGTCCTCCAACAGACGGGTCTCTCTCTAGGACAACAGATAATGCTGGATACAGCAGTCCTGTAACAGACGGGTCTCTCTCTAGGACAACAGATAATGCTGGATACAGCAGTCCTTTAACAGACGGGTCTCTCTCTAGGACAACAGATAATGCTGGATACAGCAGTCCTGTAACAGACGGGTCTCTCTCTAGGACAACAGATAATGCTGGATACAGCAGTCCTCTAACAGACGGGTCTCTCTCTGGGACAACAGATAATGCTGGATACAGCAGTCCTCTAACAGACGGGTCTCTCTCTAGGACAGCAGATAATGCTGGATACAGCAGTCCTCTAACAGACGGGTCTCTCTCTGGGACAACAGATAATGCTGGATACAGCAGTCCTCTAACAGACGGGTCTCTCTCTAGGACAACAGATAATGCTGGATACAACAGTCCTGTAACAGACGGGTCTCTCTCTAGGACAGCAGATAATGCTGGATACAGCAGTCCTCTAACAGACGGGTCTCTCTCTAGGACAACAGATAATGCTGGATACAGCAGTCCTGTAACAGACGGGTCTCTCTCTAGGACAACAGATAATGCTGGATACAACAGTCCTGTAACAGACGGGTCTCTCTCTAGGACAACAGATAATGCTGGATACAGCAGTCCTCTAACAGACGGGTCTCTCTCTGGGACAACAGATAATGCTGGATACAGCAGTCCTGTGACAGACGGGTCTCTCTCTAGGACAACAGATAATGCTGGATACAGCAGTCCTTTAACAGACGGGTCTCTCTCTAGGACAACAGATAATGCTGGATACAGCAGTCCTGTAACAGACGGGTCTCTCTCTAGGACAACAGATAATGCTGGATACAGCAGTCCTCTAACAGACGGGTCTCTCTCTGGGACAACAGATAATGCTGGATACAGCAGTCCTCTAACAGACGGGTCTCTCTCTAGGACAACAGATAATGCTGGAGACAGCAGTCCTGTAACAGACGGGTCTCTCTCTAGGACAACAGATAATGCTGGATACAGCAGTCCTGTAACAGTCGGGTCTCTCTCTAGGACAGCAGATAATGCTGGATACAGCAGTCCTCTAACAGACGGGTCTCTCTCTGGGACAACAGATAATGCTGGATACAGCAGTCCTCTAACAGACGGGTCTCTCTCTAGGACAACAGATAATGCTGGATACAACAGTCCTGTAACAGTCGGGTCTCTCTCTAGGACAACAGATAATGCTGGATACAGCAGTCCTCTAACAGACGGGTCTCTCTCTAGGACAACAGATAATGCTGGATACAGCAGTCCTTTAACAGTCGGGTCTCTCTCTAGGACAACAGACAAAAATAGTATGAAATGGGGTCATACCAAATATGAAAGGTGAGTAAGGTACTACTTTCAAAAATGGCTTTGAGAGATCGGGCCAGAGCCATACAGAGTCAGATAAACTACAAGGATAATACACACATGGGTACAATCGCCTTTAAACTACGACAAAAGCACAACTTCAGGCGAGCTTAGCTAGCTCGTTTTCCGGGCACAGGAAGCTGAACACATCAACCCCAGTTCCGCACCAAATGACACCTACTTGAAATATCTGTACACACAACAAGCATAAGTCATGGTGTGAAACATAACACCACTCAATAGTTCAAATTGTGGTCAGTTTTAATTACTGGGTGGGTGTGCTTTTAAAAAACTTTAAAAACGTACACTATTTCATCCAATCACAGCTGTCACATGTCGCCAACTGACCAGAAGTGACGACACTGGCTTAGCGAGCAAGTAATTCTGATTTAGTGTAGTAGAACCTAATAGACTGCCACGAACCCCTGTGAGTTAGTCTGTCTCACAGTCCCTGAACCACATTATTTTCCCCACTGCCAAGCTCTCTCTGCAGTTCTAAAGCCCTAAAAGAAGCAAGTCTAGATTTCCTCAGGTTCTGAATCTCTGGTCTTCCTGGGGCTCCTTTTCAATTTAAATGGGCTTGTTTGTTACTATCAAAATTATATATATTCAGAGACTAAGCATTAGTCTACCCTGTGAGTAGGCAGCGCTGTGTTGACAACATGTAGAGACAGGATTTAGTTTGCGCTACCGAGATTGTTGATTATACAGTTTACTACCTTCCAAAACCACACATTTACACGGTGTCCTCCCAGTTGTGAGAACTCCCAGTTGTGAGACACATTAATTAATGGTTCAGTGCACACAGGTGGTGCTTCCCCATCCCCACGATGAAAGTGCGAACAGCCCTGTTGCTGAAGAGTACCCGCAGGAGGCATAGTTCATTAATGAGTTAATTAACACAGAAGACATTGTTCGTTGAAGAGCATTTATTGTTTTCAATAGATACTGAAATACTGAAAATGATTATCGTGAACTGGTGATATATTCTACTTGTTGAAGGCCTGTCATAATGGTGATCGGAAAGAGCAGTCAAAAGTTAATATATACATTTGGATTAATTATAGTTACAACAGTTATTGCTAGATTTTTCAAACACGTAAATCTGAGTAGGTAAATTAATTTCTCTTTCAAATGATCACGAAGTTACCTACACAAAGTGTTTATTTTTTAAAGCCATTTACCTGAGTAGGTTAATTACTTTATTCAGTTAAATAGCTAATCCATAATTAGCTGGGGTTAATCCATTCTATCAGATAGGGGAGTAAGGTGTGTTTTCTTTGCTAATTACCTACTCCACTGTCTCACAACTGGGAGTCTCACAACTGGGAGTTCTCACAAATGGGAGTAGACCCATTTACACACCAACACAGCCCCCCACCCCCACCCCCACCCCTGTTGACAAACATGTTCTCTGTGTCTTGTGTGTCTGTATGCGTGTGTGTTGTATGTGTTTCTCCTCTGTGTGTGTCCTCTGTGTGTGTCCTCTATGTATGTCCTCTGTGTGTCTTGTATGTGTATGTCATTTTTTGTGTCCTCTGTGTGTGTCCTCTGTGTATGTCCTCTGTGTGTCTTGTATGTGTATGTCCTCTGTGTATGTCCTTTGTGGATGTCCTCTGTGTGTCTTGTATGTGTATGTCCTCTGTGTATGTCCTTCGTGTGTGTCATGTGTGTGTCCTGTGTGAGTCCTCTGTGTGTCCTCTGTGTGTGTCTTGTATGTGTGTGTCCTCTGTGTGTCCTCTGTGTGTGTCTTGTATGTGTGTGTCTTGTATGTGTGTGTCCTCTGTGTGTCCTCTGTGTGTCTTGTATGTGTATGTCCTCTGTGTATGTCCTTTGTGGATGTCCTCTGTGTGTCTTGTATGTGTATGTCCTCTGTGTATGTCCTTCTGTGTGTCATGTCCTGTGTGTGTCCTGTGTGTGAGTCCTCTGTGTGTCCCTCTGTGTGTGTGTGTATGTGTGTCTTGTATGTGTGTGTCCTCTGTGTCCTCTGTGTTGTCTTGTGTGTGTGTCCTCTCTGTGTGTCTTGTGTGTATGTGTCTTGTATGTGTGTGTGTCCTCTGTGTGTCCTCTGTGTGTGTGTCTGTGTGTAAGTGTGTGTCCTCTGTGTGTGTCTGTGTGTGTGTGTGTGTCTCTGTGTGTGTCCTGTGTGTGTGTGTCCTGTGTGTCCTCTGTGTGTGTCTGTGTGTGTGTCTTGTATGTGTGTGTGTCTGTGTGTCCTCTATGTGTGTGTCTTGTATGTGTGTGTCTTGTGTGTGTGTCCTCTGTGTGTGTCCTGTGTGTGTCCTCTGTGTGTATGTGTGTCCTGTGTGTGTCCTGTGTGTGTGTGTGTGTGTCCTCTGTGTGTGTCTCTGTGTGTGTGTCCTCTGTGTATTATTGTGTGTGTGTCCTCTGTGTGTGTCCTCTGTGTGTGTGTGTGTGTGTGTGTCTGTGTGTGTGTGTGTGTGTGTCTCTGTGTGTGTGTGTGTCCTCTGTGTGTCCTCTGTGTGTGTCTGTGTCTGTGTGTGTCTGTGTGTGTCCTCTGTGTCCTCTGTGTGTGTGTGTGTGTGTGTGTCCTGTGTGTGTCCTGTGTGTGTCCTGTGTGTGTGTGTGTGTCCTGTGTGTGTCCTGTGTAAGTCCTGTGTGTGTCCTCTGTGTGTGTCCTCTGTGTGTCTTGTATGTGTGTGTCTTGTATGTGTGTGTCCTCTTTGTGTGTCGTGTGTGAGTCCCTGTCTCCTGTTCAGCCAACATAAAAACATCCATTAAGTTTTTCTCACTTACTAGTTGATGTGCGTCTCAGGACCACCTTTTGGTCTCCGTCTTCTTCACCGTTCTCCGTCGACGATGTCCCCCGGGGTATATAATCGATGGACCGCTCCCGATGTACGCCGTTCACGCTGCCAACCGCAGTGTCGTCCCCCTGTCGTCCAGACCTAGACGTCGTCGAGTCTCGCGGTTGTCCCGAGACTGCCCGAGGCGGTTTGGTCGGGGCCGGACCTGACGCCATGTCGTTGACGTCGTTAAAGCTCACCTTCCGTGACTGTTTCTTGCGTCCCTCCCGTGGAGGCACAGTGGCCAGATCCCCTAGGTTCGAAGTTGGGGATGACGGGCGCCACGAAACTGTGAGATGCAAGGTATCACGTATCTGACCCATCCAGAAGAGAGGGATACTTTGGGAGCTTAGATACAGCTGTAGATTTACGTCATGGAAAAGGCATTTGGTGTCAACTCCCTCCGTTACTTCGTTGTGTAATCACATTACTTCAAAACACTTCAGCATGCATGTGTACTTTCAAATAATCAGACAGTATATCTATACACTGCAGTTATCTCCTCTACAGTTTTATCTAGAGGGTGTTATCTAGAGGGTGTTATCGGTGAAATAAAGCAATCTGATAAACTTGGTCTCAAATCTGATAACAATGCAAATTACGTCAATCCACGAACTACTTTCACAAAACTCCATACACGCCATGCGAATCCTAAAACGTTTTAACATTTCACTGATGACATCGTCACGAGTTTACATTGTTTGTAAACTAACGTGGCCCTATTCTCAAAATTGGTGATTCTGTAAGAATTGATGACAGAGGTTCTGGAGTAATTGACTTTGGAAAACATGAAATACTTCGTTCAAATTGAAGGTACGGATTATGAGGCATGACTGAAAGGCAATCGTCTAAGAAAGGTACCAACCAAGGATTTCAATCTATCGATCAAAATACGGACGACGAATCGATCGCCAAAGGCTCGCATAATACAATTTTTTTATTCCTAATACTGTATATGATATTAATGATACGGAAACACACTCGGTTAATAATCTCTATATACGTTTGAAAACATGACTTCGTTACTTACCCTTAGGCAGAGCGGCATACTCGTCCGGTACCTGGAACTGTTCAGGGTTCCCTGCAACAATCAATGATTCAAGTGCTGAAGATGCTCAGGTGATATATTGGGGTGTTACATACTGCGGCATCATAAGGTGAGGTGTTAGATACAGAGGTGTTACATACTGCGGCATCATAAGGTGAGGTGTTAGATACAGAGGAGTCGGATACAGAGGTGTTACATACTGCGGCATCATAAGGTGAAGTGTCAGATACAGAGGTGTCAGATACAGAGGTGTTACATACTGCGGCATCATAAGGTGAGGTGTTAGATACAAAGGTGTCAGATACAGAGGTGTTACATACTGCGGCATCATAAGGTGAGGTGTTAGATACAAAGGTGTTACATGCTGCGGCATCATAAGGTGAGGTGTTAGATAAAGAGGTGTCAGATACAGAGGTGTTACATACTGCGGCATCATAAGGTGAGGTGTTAGATACAGAGGAGTCGGATACAGAGGTGTTAGATACATAGGTGTCAGATACAGACCTGTCAGAAACAGAGGTGTCAGATACAGAGGTGTCAGAAACAGATGTTAGATACATAGGTGTCAGATACAGAGGTGTTAGATACAGAGGTGTCAGAAACAGAGGTGTCAGATACAGAGGTGTTAGATACTGTGGTGTCATGAGGTGAGGTGTTGGATACAGAGGTGTCAGATACAGAGGTGTTAGATACAGAGGTGACAGATACAGAGGTGTTAGATACAGAGGTGTTAGATACAGAGGAGTCAGATACAGAGGTGTAAGATACAGAGGTGTAAGATACAGAGGTGTCATGAGGTGAGGTGTCAGATACTGTGGGTACAGGGGTGTCAGATACTGTGATGTCATCAGGTGAGGTGTCAGATACAGAGGTGTCAGATACAGAGGTGTTAGATACAGAGGTGTTAGATACAGAGGTGTCAGATACAGAGGTGTTAGATACAGAGGTGTTAGATACAGAGGTGTCAGATACAGAGGTGTAAGATACAGAGGTGTTAGATACAGAGGTGTCATGAGGTGAGGTGTCAGATACTGTGGGTACAGGGGTGTCAGATACTGTGATGTCATAAGGTGAGGTGTCAGATACAGAGGTGTCAGAAACCATGGTGTCATGAGATGAGGTGGGGTGTCAGATACTGTGGGAAGTAGGAGGCGGATACTGTGGGTAATGGGATGTCAGATACTGTGCGTACTGGGGTGTCTGATACTGTGGGTATTGGGAGGCAGATACTGTGCGTATTGGGAGGCAGATATTGTGGGTACTGGGGTGTCAGATACTGTGGGTAATGGGATGTCACATACTGTGGGTACTGGGGTGTCAGATACTGTGGGTACTGGGGTGTCAGATACTGTGGGTACTGGGGTCTCAGATACTGGGGGTACCGGGGTCTCAAATACTGTGGGTACCGGGGTCTCAGATGCTGTGGGTACTGGGGTGTCAGATACTGTGGGTACTAGGGTAGCAGATACAGAGGTGTTATATACAGAGGTGTTAGATACAGAGGTGTCAGATACAGAGGTGTTAGATACAGAGGTGTTAGATACAGAGGTGTCATGAGGTGAGGTGTCAGATACTGTGGGTACAGGGGTGTCAGATACTGTGATGTCATAAGGTGAGGTGTCAGATACAGAGGTGTCAGAAACCATGGTGTCATGAGATGAGGTGGGGTGTCAGATACTGTGGGAATTAGGAGGCGGATACTGTGGGTAATGGGGTGTCTGATACTGTGGGTACTGGGGTGTCAGATACTGTGGGAATTGGGAGGCAGATACTGTGGGTACTGGGATGTCAGATACTGTGGGTACTGGGGTGTCAGATACTGTGGGTACTGGGGTGTCAGATACTGTGGGTACTGGGGTCTCAGATACTGGGGGTACCGGGGTCTCAGATACTGTGGGTACCGGGGTCTCAGATGCTGTGGGTACTGGGGTGTCAGATACTTTAGGTACTGGGGTTGTCGGATACTATGGGTACTGGGGTGTCAGATACTGTGGGTACTAGGGTGTCAGATACTGTGGGTACCGGGCCTCAGATACTGTGGGTACTGGGAGGCAGATACTGTGGGTACTGGGGTGTCAGATACTGTGGGTACTGGGGTGTCAGATACTGTGGGTACTGGGGTGTCAGATATTGTGAGTATTGGGGTGTGAGTTACTGTGCGTATTGGGAGGCAGATATTGTGGGTACTGGGGTGTCAGATACTGTGGGTACTGGGATGTCACATACTGTGGGAATTAGGAGGCGGATACTGTGGGTACTGGGGTGTCAGATATTGTGAGTATTGGGGTGTCAGATACTGTGGGAATTAGGAGGCGGATACTGTGGGTAATGGGGTGTCAGATACTGTGGGTACTGGGTTGTCTGATACTGTGGGTATTGGGAGGCAGATACTGTGGGTACTGGGATGTCAGATACTGTGGGTACTGGGGTGTCAGATACTGTGGGTACTGGGGTGTCAGATACTGTGGGTACTGGGGTCTCAGATACTGGGGGTACCGGGGTCTCAGATACTGTGGGTACCGGGGTCTCAGATGCTGTGGGTACTGGGGTGTCAGATACTTTAGGTACTGGGGTTGTCGGATACTGTGGGTACTGGGGTGTCAGATACTGTGGGTACTAGGGTGTCAGATACTGTGGGTACCGGGCCTCAGATACTGTGGGTACTGGGAGGCAGATACTGTGGGTACTGGGGTGTCAGATACTGTGGGTACTGGGGTGTCAGATACTGTGGGTACTAGGGTGTCTCATACTGTGGGTACTGGGGTGTCAGATACTGTGGGTATTGGGGTGTCAGATACTGTGCGTATTGGGAGGCAGATATTGTGGGTACTGGGGTGTCAGATACTGTGGGTACTGGGATGTCAGATACTGTGGGTACTGGGGTGTCAGATACTGTGGGTACTGGGGTGTCAGATACTGTGGGTACTGGGGTCTCACATACTGGGGGTACCGGGGTCTCAGATACTGTGGGTACTGGGGTCTCAGATGCTGTGGGTACTGGGGTGTCAGATACTTTAGGTACTGGGGTTGTCGGATACTGTGGGTACTGGGGTGTCAGATACTGTGGGTACTAGGGTGTCAGATACTGTGGGTACCGGGTCTCAGATACTGTGGGTACTGGGAGGCAGATACTGTGGGTACTGGGGTGTCAGATACTGTGGGTACTGGGGTGTCAGATACTGTGGGTACTGGGGTGTCAGATACTGTGGATACTGGGGTGTCTGATACTGTGGGTACTGGGAGGCAGATACTGTGGGTACTGGGGTGTCAGATACTGTGGGTACTGGGGTGTCAGATACTGTGGGTACTGGGGTGTCAGATACTGTGGGTACTGGGGTGTCAGATACTGTGGGTACTAGGGTGTCAGATACTGTGGATACTGGGGTGTCAGATACTGTGGGTACCGGGTCTCAGATACTGTGGGTACTGGGAGGCAGATACTGTGGGTACTGGGGTGTCAGATACTGTGGGTACTGGGGTGTCAGATACTGTTGGTATTGGGATGTCAGATACTGTGAGTATTGGCAGGCAGATACTGTGGGTACTGGGGTGTCAGATACTGTGGGTACTGGGGTGTCAGATACTGTGGGTACTGGGATGTCAGATACTGTGGGTACTGGGGTGTCAGATACTGTGGGTACTGGGCTGTCAGATACTGTGGGTACTGGGGTTGTCGGATACTGTGGGTACTTGGGTGTCAGATACTGTGGGTACTGGGGTGTCTGGTACTGTGGGTATTGGGAGGCAGATACTGTGGGCATTGGGAGGCAGATACTGTGGGTACTGGGGTGTCAGATACTGTGGGTATTGGGGTGTCAGTTACTGTGCGTACTGGGATGTCAGATACTGTGGGTATTGGGGTGTCAGTTACTGTGGGTACTGGGATGTCAGATACTGTGGGTATTGGGGTGTCAGATACTGTGGGTACTGGGGTGTCTGATACTGTGGGTACTGGGGTGTCAGATACTGTGGGTATTGGGGTGTCAGATACTGTGGGTACTGGGGTGTCAGATACTGTGGGTATTGGGGTGTCAGATACTGTGGGTACTGGGGTGTCAGATACTGTGGGTATTGGGGTGTCAGATACTGTGGGTACTGGGGTGTCTGATACTGTGGGTACTGGGATGTCAGATACTGTGGGTAATGGGGTGTCAGATACTGTGGGTACTGGGATGTCAGATACTGTGAGTATTGGCAGGCAGATACTGTGGGTACTGGGGTGTCAGATACTGTGGATACTGGGGTGTCAGATACTGTGGGTACCGGGTCTCAGATACTGTGGGTACTAGGAGGCAGATACTGTGGGTACTGGGGTGTCAGATACTGTGGGTACTGGGGTCTCAGATACTGTTGGTATTGGGATGTCAGATACTGTGAGTATTGGCAGGCAGATACTGTGGGTACTGGGGTGTCAGATACTGTGGGTACTGGGGTGTCAGATACTGTGGGTACTGGGATGTCAGATACTGTGCGTACTGGGGTGTCAGATACTGTGGGTACTGGGGTGTCAGATACTGTGGGTACTGGGGTGTCAGATACTGTGGGTATTGGGAGGCAGATACTGTGGGTATTGGGGTGTCAGATACTGTGGGTACTGGGGTGTCAGTTACTGTGGGTATTGGGGTGTCTGATACTGTGGGTTCTGGTATGTCAGTTACTGTGGGTACTGGGATGTCAGATACTGTGGGTACTGGGGTTGTCGGATACTGTGGGTACTTGGGTGTCAGATACTGTGGGTACTGGGGTGTCTGATACTGTGGGTATTGGGAGGCAGATACTGTGGGCATTGGGAGGCAGATACTGTGGGTACTGGGGTGTCAGATACTGTGGGTATTGGGGTGTCAGTTACTGTGCGTACTGGGATGTCAGATACTGTGGGTATTGGGGTGTCAGTTACTGTGGGTACTGGGATGTCAGATACTGTGGGTATTGGGGTGTCAGATACTGTGGGTACTGGGGTGTCTGATACTGTGGGTACTGGGGTGTCAGATACTGTGGGTATTGGGGTGTCAGATACTGTGGGTACTGGGGTG